AACCACAGATCTACAAGGGGAGTGGTCCCCTGTGATGACAGTGCCAGACTGTGGCCTGTGGCTGTGAACTGCTGCCACAGAGCCAGGGGCAAAGGATTTGGGTTTGGGAACCTCTTCCCAGACCTTCTAGAATGGTCTCATTTTCCTAACTTGTTTTGCAGCTGTGCAGGGAGCCAGATAGCTTTCATCATTCCCAATACTGTACAGAAGACAGGGCAAAGGGCCACAGACGGTTAACTACATTATTAGTGCTAACTGGGAAAAGGCACGTGCAGATGATCCAGAAAGCTCCAGTGAATATTTTCTATTTCTTCTCTCATCACTTTTATAAATAAATCCTCAATAAGCAACAAGTTATAAGAGATTTGCATCTTCTCCCTTTACTTGTCACTATTTGGCTATTGCTGCTAAATACAGAAACTCTAACTAGCCTGGTCCACCAGCAAATTAGGAGGGCTCAGAAGCCAGGCATTCTCCCAGCAGGTGTTCCAGAGAGGCTGAGCTGGGATGCTGCCTGGGGAGGAGGCTGAGCCAGCCAAGCTTCTATGATTGCTTAGAGCTGGCTTCAAATCAGACAGCAGAGGAAAAGCGAATAAGAGCCCCCAGGAACACCCCCAACCTGGCCACCAGCGAAACGTAAACTGGAGTTGAATTTCCTGGCAGCCCCCGCTCTTCCACGCTGGACTGTCAAGGGAACACATAACACCTTAAACCAGTTTCCTGTACCGTCCAGCCCGGCCACACATCCCAAGTCAGCGGATGAAAGCTAGAGACAGCCAGAGCTGGAAGGAGGCCCAAGGGCCCATCTGGTTCCCCTGCCTTCAGGAAATGTCTTTCTCTTCTCTTTTTCAGGAAGGGGAAGGGCGGGAGGACCTTCTGTCCCCCACGACCAAGGACGGAGTTCATTCGGCCCTAACCCAAGTGGCTCCCTGTCGCCTTCCCCTTTTGTCGCCCTGTGCCCCACCCCCATACTGAAACCACTTTTTGATTCTTTAAATCAGCTTCGCAAGCTGGGATCCCCGCGTGGAGGAGGTTCCCATTCTCCTCCGTCCCACTGGGCCAAGCTGTCGGTTCCTGCAAAGGGCACCCGAGAAAAGGGAGCGGATACTCTCCCCACGACGCGCAGAACAACTGGAAGAGGCAAGAAGTCAGAGCACCGTCCCTCTTCTGAGGTCCAAGTGCGAGGCTGCAGTCACACGACAGGAGGAAGGAAGCCGAGAGTCATTCCCCGGAGTCAGGCGGGGCTCGTCCCGCGCTAACTACGTTCTTCCCCGATCTCTAAGCGCTCTCACTCTAGGCGCTGGGTCCAGCCATGCTCCCCCAGAAGAGACGAGGAGTAACAGGCAGGGTTCCCACGGTATCCCCACCCCGCCATGTCCGTGGCTGCCTCCCGGAGCGGGCAGAAGATGGGGGCTGCTTGGGGAGCCTGTCCCGCGTGCGGGTCCCAGAGACTACCTCGCCGCGCTCAGTGGAGCGGGCCAAAGGGGCACCCGCTGAGGCAAGTTTGCGTGCTGCTCCGCCTCCCCTGCATCCTTTGGCCCACCCCGAAACCCCAAGCCGGGAACTGACTTGGAGCGCTCCAGGATAGCAGGGAACTGGGCGGCCTCGGGAACCCACGCTGGACACAGACGCCTGCTCCCTAAGCAGGGGCCTCCGGAGGGCTGAGTGTGGGAGTGGGGCAGGAGGCGCTTCCCCATCCCCACCTCGGGAGGGCCAGGGAAGAGGTGGGTGACCCCGAAGAGGCAGCAGCTGGGGAGCAATGGGTGCATCAGCCGATCCCGCCCGCGCTCCACCCCTGCCCCAGCGCGCGCACTCACCGCTCAGCAGGCGACCGCTCGCGCCCCGCGGCCCCGCCAGCAGCACAGCCAGCAGCACTGCCTGCAGCGCCGCTCCCGCCTGCATGGCCAGACTCTGGTGCGCCCTCGGACACCCCGGCGCTACGGCGGCGGTGGAGCTGACGGACCGGCTGCTGCATGCGCGACGACTGCAACCGCGGCAGCGGCATCTCCCGAGGACCGACCGACTGGGCACCAAGAGGAGTGGGGGAGGGCGCAGAGTCAGTTGGTCGCCCCTCCGCCCCCTGGGACGTCACTGCAGGGAGGGCAGCCCAGCTGACTGGCCCGCCCCCGACGGCCTTCTCCAGCGAGCTCGGCGCCAGACAATCCGCCAGCTGGAGGGGAGCGACCCGCAGGGCGGGGGCGGAGGGCCGGCAGCTCCCTGCCCCACTCCAAGCTTCCCAGGGAGATCCTGCAATTGCCTAGGTCACAGGGCGGAGGAAAATCCCAGTCTGGCTTCTCTGAAATCTGATGAAGAGTGCACCGTAGCTAAAAACTGTACCACACCTCACCCCTATTCCCCGGGACCATAGCCAAGTTCACTCAGCTGTGCGGTCCAAAGGGAGAGGCAAGGCACCGATACCTATTCATACCAAGGGCTCAGTCGGCCGCAGTCCTGGCAGTCAGGGCTGCACCTGAAAAAGGAATGGTCGACAGATACTCAAGCGGGCAGCGTGCCCACTGGCCGGGAAAGTTACAGGACACAGCACGGACAGCGTCCAGAGAAGGTGTCTGAGTTGGAGTTCTCCGGGCTAAAAGGAGAGCGGCTTCCACCAGAAGCCAAAGTATATCCCAGAACTCAGCAAGGAAAGGATTCTGCCTTTTGTAGGGTACATTGGGAGGTGGGGGTGATGATTATGGAATTCAGCCTTGGACTTCTGCCACCAGGAAAGAATGAAACTATTTCCTCTGGAAAAGCTTTCCTAACCAACCTAGCCCTCAGTGCGTACTGCCTCTTGTAAACTTTCACAATAGTTGTTTTACATTGGCTTCTTACAGTCAACAAAATGTTTTCAAATATATTCAAATAATAAAGTGAGCCTCCAGTCTAAGGACTAAGGTACTAAGTAGCAGAAGGTGAGGCTGAGTCCCTTGCCTTTCCTGCCACACCATGCAGGTGTGAAGCACAGCACCGGTCCTATCTGGGCCACAGAAGGATTTTGATTTCAGTTTGCTGCTTTTTACCTACTTACCTACTTGCTGCTTTTCAAAAACAACAGTCAAGAGAGCAGTGATATTTCCAAGGCCTAGAGCCACTGCAACTCTAGACGAACAGGCCTGGAGGCAAGCTGGGGGCGGGATCAATTTCAGTATCAGCTGAGAATCTGGGAAAGTTCTCCTATTGTAGAAAACAGCAGCAGGATGAGGACTGACCTTTATGGCAAGTTCATTTACAGCCCTTCTCTGTGTCCCAATGAGAATATCTCACATCCAACACACATTCTTTCTAGAAATTCTTGGTTATCAAAACAACGCAAGAGAGAACTGTTGTGGTGAAAAGAAGCACTTGAGTTAGCATCTGATGTTCTGTTTCAAATCTTGCTTTTCTTCATTTAATGTCTGTGTGGCCTTTGGTAAGTCCCTTTGTCTCTAAGTTTCAGCTAACCTACTGGTCTATGTGTATTGCCAAGAGGGTGATACACGGAGCAGAGCTGCTTCAGGCAATTGACAGACTTGTAGGAAGAAGTAGAGCTGCCCTAGGTGCTGTAGCCTGAAGCAGAGCTGTGTGGCTGAGCCTAATGCCCAGCTGACCTGCAGATGTGTGAGCAATAGTAAATGTTGTTTTAGACCTCTTTGTTATGCCGCATTATCACAGCAATAGCTAACCATTACACCTGTCAATGCAGCGAGGTGTCACCGGGGGAAGGCTGGTTGCCAAGAAAGCTCACAAAGGGGAATTTTTCTTGGTAAAATTACCTTGGTCCAGGATCCAATCCTTAGTTTGACAAGCTCAAACTCAATCTAACTAGCAGACTAATACACACATTGAGAAATGTAATCTTCCGGTAAACTAATGTTTGCACTGACCTGTGGAGCACATATTCTCCCCTCCTGGCAAAAAAAGATTTCTCAGTGAAGGTGGAATCAAGACAAAGAGAATTAGTTACATGATTTAAAAGTTTAGGCTTTGATAGCCTGCTGTGTCCCTCTTCACAACAGAGATCTATGTGTCTGACAGACAAATACATCAGCCCGACAGGGTACCTTTAATTCTTGATGGTGCTGGGATGGGACTGCCAATTTATAACTTTTTAAATTTCCCTTTTCTAGGCCTGACTACCTTCCTTTTGTTTCAAACATTTTTCTCCAAACAGTGTTGTGCCAGACACTTGTAGTTGTCCCCTAATATCCACCCTCCATTTCTTTTAGTGATAGAGTCCCTAGATTTCAGCTAGGTAGATTGCTGGCCACCCCCCATCTCCCACTGCAATCTAAAGACTATTTCCAGCCTCCCTTGCAGCTTGGTATGTCCCTGTGATTAAGTTCTGACCAATGGGTCCTCCACTCCTCTATTGGCACTGGATGGGAGCTGCATCTTGTGGAGGCTATGCCAGGAGTTGCAGGTGGAGGGCAATAGTGAAGTGAATGGTGGTCCCAATTAGAACTGCAGACACTGGGCAAGAGCATATGACCCTGCGTAGGACTCCCATTTGGACAATACAGAAGGAACAAATCCTTAACCTTCTCTTTTCCAGTATATACCAAAGGGAATAACTCTTAAAACTGAGGGAGGTTGGCACTTGTATTATGTATGTGTGTGTAAAACATAGGCGTGTGAAGCTAGTTATTCACAGAACTAGAAGCAATTCATTCCTGACTTCAGGCTTGTTCTAGAAACAGAATAAACCAAATTTTGCAAAAAGGGATTTTTTTTTTTAAAACAAGAAGACTTTAAGTTTTCAGGACTGCCTTTTCATCCCTATTTCCTTATTAATTGTGTTTACTGGTGGTCTACAAGTTAGGGTATATAAATCCCCTGTTTCTTATTTATCTGATATTCATAATATAGATATAATATAGAAATTCTAGAAACACTCTTCAAATAAAAACAAGATAAATAGGAGTTAGAGAATGTGTAAGATGAGAGAGATGATTATGGTGTGGTATCAAACATAATGGTATCCAAGAAGTAAAACAGACACAAGTATTCAATAACTGGTAAAATCCCTAGAAGTCTGCATATTTTACTTTTATTTCTTTGTCTATTTTAACACAAGTATTCAATAACTGGTAAGATTCCTGGAAGTCTGGATATTTAACTTTTATCTCTTTGTCTATTTTAACATTTCAGTGATCCCATGGTCCTGATGCAAGAGTAGGTTGTTTCACAAGTGAAGATATAAGTAAGCCATCCTCTACCATGTGTCAAGCAAATTAGTTCAAGGCTTTGACTGCTTCTTGGTCCTCTTTATCTGACTCTGATATCACTTTCCTGTTGGGAGTAATATCAATCAGTTTCAATACACAGAACTTTGTAGTTGTGAACATGATGTAGCATGAAAATAACTTTTGAAAATTTCCCCAATAAAAATACACTGTCACAAATTCTGAATATTCTTAGCCTTTACAACCAAATGTAAACTTATATATGGGAGAAGTGATCATTATACTGTGAAGTATGATTTGGAGGGCATGGGAGTCCTCCTACCTCAAATATATTTTGCTCACCCAAGAGTCAAACTCCTGAGATCTCATCATTGGTAATTGATTTCTTCAGATTACCCATTGTTCCATTTATTCAGCCTTCTTTCAAGTGCAAATATTCCTGGGGTGGATAATAAATATATAGCAACTAAACCCTTACTAGGAATATACTTTCTAATTTTTTTTTTTCTGATAGAAGGGGACCCAGATTATCCTAAGATCTGTTGAAGGAGGGATGGTAAGGGTGCATCTGTATATGTAGTTTTGGGCAGAGAGAAAAGGATGAAGGGAGAAAAAGGAGGCCAATTGTGTCTAAAATACTTACAAAATTTTTAAAATGTTTATAAATTAATGTATAGTATAAAACATCACTTTTTAAATTAGCTAATACTGAATTACATGATATTTTTGAACTAAAATTTTTGTTATAAATATTTTGTGAATTCCAACATTTAGGCAGTGTGCTGGCACTTTGGGTGGCCAATTTCTCATGGAGTTAATAATATGGTTATAGACAAAACAAAAAGTATGTGAAAAGTTAAATAACTTGTAAGAGTTACATAATTATAAAATATGGGCACAGAGTAGTGTATCATTAATTGACAAAAGGATAGTAACTATAAAAGTTCAGAGGAAGAAGATGTCACAGTGAAATGGAATGGAATTCAAGGCTTCAGGATGGAGGAGAGAGTTAATATTAACATATAAAAGGAATTACGTAACTAAGCATTTAAATTATTAAGAGAATTATCTGTTCAAGCTGTGAAATAATGTTTTACTCAGGTAAAACTAAGAGTATTATGTTTTACTATAGATAGGACAGTCACTGTACAGCGTGTAGACAATACAGCCAGGTGATTAAATGATCTTTTCATTTTTTTCAGAAGTTTTTAAAGTTAGTGTAAACATATTCAGTCTTCTTTAAGCATATAACTTTGATAACATTAGAAAGTCAGCCTCAATACCAATGAAAGAATAGAATTTTCTATTACTTTCTAATTATTCTTCCCTGAATGTAGTATGAAACAAATATTTGTCAAATTAATGGTGAGTTAGCCACATTGGTTTTCGGTCATAATACAAAGATGGAGAGATTTCTTATCAGGGATGCATTAGTGAAAAACTGGTGCTAGCTGGTTTCGGTTAAACTCTTCTAGGTCATTTTCCTAGTCCTGTTCTAACATTATTCCAGGGATAAGGGTGTTAACTCATCACTGAGAGTTTACTACATGAACTTAGCTTTAGCAACCTGAGATATGCCACTGGTGGGCTGAGAGCTGGAGAGTTAGAAGACCTGCTGATTCACTAAAGAAGTAGGGGGCAGGTGTGGGTAGGGAAGGGGGGAGCCAGGAGGGCATGACGGCAGGTGACTACAATAGCCCAGGTTGAAAGGGAGCGACAGAGAATGTGTGCAAGGCTTCAAGGCTGATCTGCTCTCCAGTTTGCACTAACTTATGTTTGCATATTCCACAGATAGATAAGTGGGTACACGAGCTTTAATATCTATGAGGAGAAGATATTATTCAAGGCAAAAAATTCCTAATACAGTGGGGTGGGTTTTTAGAAGACTTGAGGGAAAGGGGCAAAGTAAGTAAAAAGAAGTGCTTTCCTACACAGTATGTAAAAATATGAGAATATTTTTGATGGAAGTAAACTTACTTTGCTTTTGGTACTTTGGCCTTTGGTTTATAAGGAAGAGAAATTAGTTCTTTCTGAAAAAAATAACATGAAAATCAAAAGGTAAGATTTTACTTCTCGCACTGACTGAAATTTACTCACCTGAAAATAATCTGATATAAAATCATCACAGAGTTTATAAATACTAGCTTCTAAAATCTGGAAACTGTGGGGTCAGAAATGTTCCAGATTAGGAAATTTGAGGTTCATCCTGTAGTATATGTTTTATATATCCACAAGCTTACACAGTGCTATTATTATTTTTATTAGGTTTGTTTTTCTTTACTTAGTATTTATTTTTGTATGATCTAAGCAAGATAAATAATTGTAAAACAAATACTAGTACTGAAGTAGCCCATGTTAACATCCTACAGCTTTATAGTATGTGGACAATAAACTCCACCAACAATAACACCTCATTTTTTATGCTGGCAGAGTTGCAAACTCTGGAGATATCTTTGGTTTATCAAGGACTGCCAAATTATCTGATGTCTATACCCAGTCCCCCTCCAGTATATAAAAGGCTCTGGACTGTGGGTATCTAGATTTAAGGGCTCAGTCTATAAAACCTTTGAGAATTTGCCACAGTTCATCCCTCCAGATAGATTAATCTGAATGCCTCACTATTGGGCTCACCGAGATCCTTTCTTCTCTTTGTTTTCTTAAGAGTTGGAGAATCTCTTCTTTCGTTTTAGCCTGTTTAAAGGAAAAAAAGTAGGTGGGTCTTTTGACTCAATAATAAAGCCTTATGCCTATGGAAGATAGAATTCTTCCGTTTTCTTCTTACATTGGCAGAATTTTAACATATTTTTCATGATAGATTTATACTTTTTTATTTGTACCAAATTCCAGTTTTTATTCCAGAGAATTCTGCTTTACAAAATAATTTGGTTTTGATCCTGAATGGAGGTTTTTTTTTTGGCACATCCAATAACTAACTTTTATTAAAACCTTACCACATGAACTATGCTAAGAGCTTTATAGACATTATGTCATAATTTTCTTATAACAACTCAGAAGTTTGACACTATTATTATTTTACTTTATAGGTGAGGAAACTGAAGCTTAGGAAGGTTAAATAACTTACCCAAACTATTAAGTGGCAGAACTGGATTTGATCCCAGGTCCATTGGACAACAAAGTCCAAGCTATTGACCACCACACTAACTTGCCACTAAACAGTAGCAAGATACAGCATTGGCAAGCTCAGACAGCATGCCACGACCTAAGTCCATAGTAAAGAAGGCTGTTCTTAGTTGCTTGCATATGGAACAAAGCCTTATTCTCTTATCTCTTCTTCTCGGTCTTAGATATTGAGACATGCACACTGTCAGGTAAGTTTTCCTAAGTATAAAAAACTAATTTAGTGCAAGCACGAAGATTTATCAACATGTAAACTACAAAAACAGGCAGATATAGGTTCAACATTTTTTTCATAGAGTCAGCCTCTATTAAGTTTTGGAGATAGCCAGGGAGAAAAATCACATCTGGTGTATTTGAGAACGAAAGAAAAACCCGAGAATCTGACAAATAAAACCTGTAACTTCAAATCGCCAAATAAAATGAAAGAAATTCTATTTATATCAAGGCTAGAAGAAATAAGAAATGAGAAAAAGACACCGATTTGTCAAAACCAAGTAAAAATTCTAAGTCATCTATCCATCCAAATGTATTGAGCACTGTACAATTTTCCTAGGGCCGCTGTAACAAAGCGCCACAAACTGCCTTAAAACAGCAATATTTATTGTCTCACAGCTCTGGAAGCTAGGAGTTTGAAATCAAGGTGTCAGCAGGGCCACATTCCCTCTGAAACCTACAGGGTTTCTTTGCTTCCTCCTAGTGCCTGCTGGTTTGCTGGCAATCTGTGGTATTCCTTGGCTCCGATCTCTGCCTTGTTGTCACATGCATTCTCCCTCTGTGTCTCTGTCTGCACGTGGCTGTCTTCTTATGAGGACTCCAGTCATATTGGATTAGGGGCCCACTCTACTCCAGTATGGCCTCTTCTTAACTAATTTCATCTGCAAAGACCCTATTTCCAAATCAGGTCACATCCTGAGGTACTGAGGGTTAGAACTTCAATATATTTTGGGTGGGGTCATATTTCAACCCATAATAAGCACCTGTGAGATAACATTGCCATGCTAGTGGCTGAACAAAATGTAATTCCTGCCTGCAAGGTGACTGCAGACTTATGGAGAAAAAGACAAGTAAATAGTTTAAACTGTGCTATGATGGCTTTAGTATAGGGTACAATTAAAGGACTGAAGATCAGGAACGCTTAATTCAGAGTAGGGCATGTGGGGGGTGGGTAAAGGTGGGGACT